TCAAGATATTTTATTGATTGAGGCTACTACTAAATGTTACATATTACGTACAGTTGGTTCAAGTGCTAATGAAAATATAAAGACCTCTAAATCTGTCTTAAGAATGTGGATCTAAACAATTTTAACACATCGTAGTTTTGTTAATCGAACATTTTAAGAAATAATCCACCGAAGATTTTACATATCCATTTTTGTTCTGTTAAGAGAACTTGTTTAGACATAGTAGCACTATTAAATGTTTTGAATACATTTAATTGTACTTTTGATTTGTTTTTTAACAATGTTAATTACTTAGGGTTAATTAGAATTTTGAAGCATTCGATTAGATTGTATTGATTGAATACAGGTATTTTGAATAAACAATTGCAAAGACATGGTTTTTTATATACTTATTGCAACGACTTAATAGATTGTATCTATCTTATTATGCCTATAAAATGTACACTTTGATCTTATCAAAGTGTTTACGTAACATGGTTTATATTAACTAATTGAAAGCTCAGAGTTTGCTCGTAACTGTGACTGTTCATCCTACATAACGACGATTGCCTAATCGTAGGTCGCGGATCTAACTTTCAACATGGGACGGAGTAAGTGAGGAAACCTGTTCGCGGTTTCGCTCAATTAGTTTGAAAATTAATTGGTACAGTGCACTAGGTCAGCCTGTGACTGGATATAATGAGGTTTATAAGTCATTAATTGTGAAAGAAAAATGTATCGTCCTGCGATTTACCCGATTGCAATTGTCTTCTTAAATGTACCTAATTAATATTGAAAATGACTGATTTTAAACATCGAACATTATTCGAGAGACTGCTGTATTTAAATAACTCGTTAATCAGGATTTTAAACTGGCATAAAACAGCCAATATTAGGTAATTAAATCGTAAGTTATTTAATGCAAATAATGAATATTTCCATTTAGATATTTTTCCGGTAACTGTTAATAATTTGTTACCATGAAATCCATATTCAAAATATTAATTTTTATCACTTTTTTTTATTAATTTGCATTATAATATTACGCACGACCAATCGTGACATTTTGAAAGGTTATAACAATAAGACATAAATCACCATCCGTACATACAGTGTTCCTCGTCACAACACCTTTGTGACGCCAACACCAATCGTAGCCTTATTAGAAAGGCAAAACACTTTTTAAGAACACTACTTTGTTCGAATTGCACGTCTCTACAAATAGGCTTTGTTTCCTAAATGTATTGTTGAATACTTTAGAAATCAATCACTATTTTTTTTTTACGAATGATAGTTACAAAGTCGCGGGGCGAAAAGTTAAAATAAAGACTGAGTTAAACACCTTACACACAAAGTTAGCAAACACCGGCACCTTCTGGATAGTTAATTGCAATATTATGACATCGCAATCGCAGTCGCTCAGCTGAGACTTGTGCAGATGTAGCTGCAGATTATAGAAAGCTTATAGATGGGTGAGATAAGTGATGTACGGTACTTACAAGGGGAGTATCCTCATGTTGGTGTTGGGGCCGCGTGTGTCGCAAGAGGCACTGCCGTTGGTCCTTTCTCCGCGGAGCGGTTGCGTGCAGGTCTACAGTGTACGGAGGCCACGCTTGATCTGCCGTTCCAACGCGAGCACTTTGGGTACACTCCAAGTTTCGGTGTCGCTGCACTGGTCCGCCCGCCACCCCGGCATCATTTACCTGATTTATATGCGTAGAGGCGCACACGACACCACACATACCGATCATTGTCCACATAGCGCCGTTTGGTAATTTGTTACCTCCCAAATAGACTAAATCCTGTTCTCTGTACACTGATGCTAACAATAACATGCTAGTTTGTTAAGAGTTTTAAAATTTTTTTGCGGCAATTGAAGTCTATTACACAATTTTTGGTTACCTTTATGTTTATAAAATTTTTAAAACGGTAACGCGGATTCTTATTTTTTATTTCGTATTTTTGTTAATTTCACATACAAAGTTTTGTATTTTAATTATAGGTAGTTGCTAAATATAAAGGGAATATTAAACACAAGACTAGACTCTTTTTAAGATGAAATATTTAAACAGGTACAAGTTCTGTAATTTGGCCATTCGATTTAAACTAAAGTTGAAACTCACACAGTGAGGCTAGTCACTTTCATTGAGGTCAAAGGTGAGGATGACCCGGCAGAAGATGTGAAGTAATATCTAATCGAGCCGTCCAACCGGTGATAATGCATAAAGTATACTTGAAATTTGCCATTTTCTAACAGGTGATTGTTCATCATTTAACATGCGAATTGAAAGGTTGCATTTTTTTAACTTTAAAGGTCTTATAGCATGTTAATTTTTACCTTAAAAAAATCATTTATCTAGTAACTAGTAGTATTTATCTAGTAATGAGATTGATTTCTGAATTTCTCAGTATATTGTTTCTGACTTCTGGTGTTTAATCTAGATTTTTAATGAAAATCAAGAAAAATGTACGAACATTGACAGAATGTATCTTGTATTTGCGTAAACAAGTATTCGATACTTTTTAATTAAAATATCTATAAATTGTATAAGGCACAAACTCCAAGTAAGCACTACACGGACTAGATTCAGCTTTTATTCATATCTACAATAGAAATTCGGTCAACACAGACGACGATTCAATACTCACAATTTACTTTTCACGCTGTTAATGCCTTACGAACAAAATACTTTCGCTTTTGTTGCCTTATGTAGCAACTTGCTATGTTCGAAATCAATTGCAAGGTCTGTTAAAAAAACGCATCATCGTTATCGGTACAAAAGGTGATCAATGGCGTAGGTTTCGATAAATTAAGTGTGACTTTTAAACTTATGACAAGAAATAATTATTGATGTCAAATTAAAATTAATTATATCGTAGCGTTGGACTATTGCAGTTATCTACATAAATCTCGAAAATGTTTTTATGTGTTGTTGTTTCAATTAAGAAAGCCAATTAATTTTTAAACAAGACCTACGGATATTTATAAATGTAAACTAGTACCATCTTGTTTCATATCTTCTTTATTCGTTCATAACACAATATATCCATTTTATTACATAAGCATGTATCTACACTTCTTCCTTCACAACACAACTTGCACTCTTTGTTTCGCGCCTAAATCTCTGTTTTCTTTTTATCGCCTTTTTAATTTGATTTGACTTGGTGGAGTGTCGGTTGCCAGAGTGAACTTAAAATTAATTAACAAAACAAAACAATAATCATACTCGTACAAATCTCATCCATATTAATTACGTTACTATTTTGAATTAATTTTATTTCATGTAGGAATTTTGTTTCCTAATAAATAATGTAATAAATGCTGCGCCTATTTTATAAGCGCCATCTGACGATCGATAGTGACTGACCAGGTAAAACATTAACATTAAAACATTAACAATAATGTTGAACAACTCTTAATTCAGCAAACAATGGGTTGATATAATTTTTTTCATCAAATATGCAAAGTAAACATTAATTATTATGGCTTATCAACAAAATACAATGATAATGTTTTGTGCCAAACAGCCATGCCTCGACAATCAAGTTGAGGATAGAGAAAAATATCGGTTGTTAGAAGTGAACAGACTTACGAGGCAATACATTGTGAACGTAAAATAATTTTGTAATGATAGGTTGCAGAATCATCATATGGCAAAATAAACACTAACATTGAAAATATTACGACGCGTTTTGATGCCAATCAAACTTTGACACAATAGTTCTATTGTTAACGCTTACGCAAAGTAGCACAATTATTACATTTTTACCGCTAATTAGCGTAGTAATAGACTTTAGATTCCCAAAACTCTGTAATACGAAAAAATTTAAAGACAACTATCGTTAATCAAGTTGGGAATATAATTTTGTATGTATTTACATTGCTATATCATTTTTCTTAATCAACGAAGTCTCTGGTTGATTTTTTCCCGTTAATAACACATTCTATCCTTTACTTTTCTGTGAGCCAGTTTGCGGAGACAATATGGGACTCTTCTTATATTTTTAATAATTTACAATAGAGAATCATGCCGAGTTTTTATAAAATGTACTTTAATCAATTATTGTTAGTTACACATTCACACCTTTTACACCTCTTCCAATTTGTGTGTATACTCATTACTTATAAATACACATATTTTATATGTAGTATGCCTGTAAGGTAAAATTAAAAAAAAACCCTCAAACTGAATAGTCGTCGTGGGGAATAGAAGACCACGACCGTCCATTATTACTACAAGAAAATATTCTATATTAATATATATTTTTTAATGTTTTAAAATAACTCATTAATTGTAATGTATTTTTTTGTTTTCTTTGTGTAGACATTAAAAGAATTGTAATGAAGTATATGGGAAGGAATTGTCTCCTGTGACACAGGGCAACCTACTACAGGAGCCAAGACTTTCATGAAATGTATGCAAGAGTCAATAAATGAATTATTATTATTATTACTATACACAAAATAGTTAGACACATAAATACATTACAATAAAAATAGAAAAAAAAACAAATACAGAAGAAACCAAAGTTAACAAGATAAATAATATAAAAATAAGCCAGTGGAATAAATGTCTTGGAGGAGGCATTTGCTTACTAGCAGATAGCTGTTAAGAAAAAAAATGTGTAAATTTGTATAGCTAGGTCATATGTTCTTTGTAAGCTATCCTGAATAAAAGGACATTTCATATCATTATTTCATTCATGCGTAAGTGCAAGAGTCTGAGAGAGCGTGAAGGCATATATACTCATACGCCATCTTTTGATTAAGGCAAGTAAATAAAAGAACTGAACCAGGCGTGCGTCTATTTCAGTAAATAGATAAAAATACTGTTGCCATTACATTAACTTATTTATGTATTGTTTTTTTTTTAAATGTTTTGATTTCATTTTATTAAACATTGTTTTTTTTTTGGCGATAGTTTAATTATCGATTTGAATATAACACAAAATCGTAGTGTATTAAAAATTTGATCATATTTTTTCCCTTGGCAATACTAACCTATCAGTTGTCAGTAAAATGTCAGTGTCGTCGTTTCCTACAATTATCTGGTCTATTGTATGCGGAAAGTGGGAACATTTTGCCTTGTGGTAACTAGCAAATTGTTTCATATTCATGGAATTTACAAAAAGTTTACTACTAGCTTATGTTAATTTATGAATAATGATGGTGAAAAAATGTGTGTGACAAATTATGAGATGTCATTGTGTTGACTTTAATGGTGATGTGATGTGATGTGTTTACGGTTTGTTCTACAAATAATTTCGTCACGTCTCTTTCGATTTTCCCTATACTTTAGTCTCGTTGAGGCAGGTCCTAATACTTTTATTTAAATATATAATCAAAGTAATACATAAAAACACTTTTTATACACTTTTAGTAGAAAGTTTATTATTAGTTAGCTGGAATATCAGTAAATTAATAAAATCAGTGATAGAAGTTTAAAAAGTAGATGATAGTATATTCATATGTGATTAATAATATTTTTTAGTTAAAAATAAACTTTTATCTAAAGTTAGTCACTAATTAATTAATTCTAATGATAAACAAACTTTTCCTTCAGATAATTTATTTAATAAAAAATCATAATACAGTTTTTTTAAGAAATATGACCGTGTTTCAACTGCATTGACACTTAGATTGAAAGAAATTATAAAAAAAAAACCAGAACAATTCATATCTAAATAAGTGTGGCCGCAGCCAAAACCCATATTTAAGCATGCAATGGTGACAAATGTTAATTAACAACTCTTATTAAAAGGCCTATTATTAAATTGTTTAGTGCATATAGATTTATTTCATAGATAGTTGGTGATAACAAAGGCATAAACCAATGTGATATATGTAATATTCTATAAAAGAAGATTAATTCATGTATTCTTCTTTACATGTTATTCTTTAAACAACTATGAAATAGTTTTATTTAATCAAATATGTCTTAATGTTTTACAGTCATATACTAAGTAAACAACAGATATACTAGTTTTCATTAATTAAAAATTACTTTTTTGTGTTATAATGTGGCAAAATGTGCAAGAGACTCGCAATTGCAACTGTGTTTCCTCCCTTTAATCAATGGAATAGAAGATGCACATAATCAGGATATTATCCTTTATTGTGCGTCTCCTCTGCCGTCAAGTTAACCTCAATCAATTATATTTGACGGTTGATAGAGATGTATGGAAGAGCAGCACATACTGTGCCGACCCTCCATAAGGGATAAGCCAAGATGAAGATGATGACTTATATTTGTACACAAAATATTTTGATTATTTAAATAACCAAATGTATCCAGTCAATTGGCAGTCATGATGGTGTGGTACAAAGCAATAAATAACATGCCCGTGGTAATTGTGATGACATAACACATAAATATTTAGGACAAAGTATTTGACAATGTTGTGTTGGACAATACAGAATAGACCTCTCTCACATATCTAATTGTTGACTTTTAAAATACCAGTAATATTAAAAAAGAGATTATAAACTTTTAATAAGAAAATTTTAATTGACTTTTTCCAGGTTAGATGAAATAAGATTTGCATTTATGGCTTTTTAAGTTTCTAGTAAATATCAATGTACGCACAGATTTAAAACTTCAGAGTAAGTTGCATACATAAATAAATATGTAATTCTGCTGTACTTATCTAGAGATCTTCCCTTTGAAATGAGTTTAATCACTATTACAAACTTGAATTTCTTATCAGCAACTGTTTGATTAAACTGGACAGGCTGAGATAACCAAGTTCTTTTGCATTGAATTCAATATTATCTTTGCTAACTATTTATCATATCAATCTCCTTGATTTTCCAAGTTAATATGATTTTAAATATCCATCAGAGTATTTACAAATGTCTATGAAAACAGCTTTCTCTGTATATTACCAACACAACAATCTTATTTTAAAAAGTTTAATTCCAACTATTATTACCGTACCATTATATAATAATTAGGTTATTAGGTTAAAATTCTCCTTATCTTTGTTACAATTAAAGAATATTTAACTAAAATTTTAATGACAAGAACACTTGATTTTTGCTGTTGACCTACATCATATTGAATTAATTTTTAAGTTACGTTCGTATCCTTATCTAAAAATTAATACACGTGTTGACTCACTGAAATATCTTATAGTATATGTTGATTTTTTGTATATTTTATTTATTCTTATCATAAGTCAACAAATATTTCTTAATATAACGTAAAAAAAATAGTTAATCTGCTAAATGTGTTCCGTAGTTTTTGCCTATCGTAATCTATAGAACGCGTGCTTTAACAGATCATCCGAAACTGAGTAAGAATGCAAGGTACAATTATGGAATTGAGTAAATACAGATTATAGTTGGCATAGACTTAGCCTTAGATAAGTCTGGCCTTGCTCATGCACGTTTGCATTGGCCGGCCATTTATCTTTAAACGCTTTGCGTCTGATCAGAATTAATGAAATATTAATTGCAATTCAAATCTGTGACTGTTGTAACATCTAATGTTTTAATGATCGACCTGTATGTTTGTACCCTTGGATAATATACCCAACGAGAATACAATACCCGGTTAAAATCAATAGATTTGCTCAACTAGATATATGTTTATGAACGTAAGACTTTCTTATCACAGTACTAAAAGTAAAAACAATTATAGAGTCAGTAGTTCCATTAACTGCATGCGGCAGCACAAGAGCCGGCTAGAACGGTGATAGACGGCAACTAGACAGTATACATTGTAGCGGTACAGGACCAATTTTATTCCTTTTCTAACATCCACCATTTACGCCCAAGGAAAGGATAAGCGAAAGAGATATGACATAATTTATATAAAATGCATTTTCAGATCAGTGAAATGTACATTGGTATGTGGTCGCGTATTACTCACAGTGAAATGTCGACCAATCGGTGACGGAAGCCACGAAGTTTGTCTAGATATTACTTAAGAGCAAATAAAAACAATAACATGTGACTATTTTTGGTTAATTTGTATGTAAAGTGACTTAGTTTCGTTCCGTAATTTAATTATATAAAATTATTGTTTCGAATGCTGTCCAATGGATTCCGAATCAGAACGGAGCTCGAATACCCAGGTAAAAAATGAGAAGACGAAAAAAATGGAGACAGAAAGTACAGACATGACTTTGGACCAAGTATGCAAACAAGTCAGCAAACTGGAGGTAGATGACGGAAGCAATGGCTCCGGAAGTTCGACGGATAGCGAAGATTTGGTTAACGCTATTAATTATAATACAATAACTTCTTTAGCTGCACTTAAAGATATTATTCAAGGAGAGAATGACACCCCTGAAACTGACAGTTTCTTCCAGCATTATTTCATGAACCATTGCAACAATCTTTCGAGTCGTAACAGTAATTCGCCGTTCCCGTTTGTGGAGAGGCGACGCCTATCACAATGCCGTGAAGAAGACGAAGATGATGAGAAAAAGAAAGATACAGCAGACGTGTTGGGTAAAGCTTGGCTGGCTCATAAGAGTACAGACCTCACAGAAAATGATACACGGACAAGTAAAAAGCAATCCCAGGATGAAGATTCTTCAACAGATGAACGGGAATCTTCTAAGCGCACTGTAATTGGACCAAAACACAAATTCTTAGTGACTACAGCCGAAGCAGCTGTACCTCCGCCACAAGTGGAAAAAGTTATTCGATCACAAGTTCATAACGCTCACACGGTACACTTTGGTACAAAAGGAGTTGAAGAGCAAAGACGAAGTGTTCGATCAATTTTTGCTGACGAGAATCTTCACCGAGATAAAAATTATTTTGACAGTAGTTTAATAGAAATAAGATCTACGGTGGACGGTATACCATCTAGCTCAGAAGACATTTGGGTGATGCGAAAGGAAGAATTAAAGGTATGATCATGACGATTGTTAATAACAATTGTCTATATAGTTATTGGCTGTATGCCGCGACTGTCCGTTCGGAATAAAAAAAATGTTTAGAAGCATATATGTTCTACTAGCCTTTTAGGAGATACCTTCTAAATCCAAACATATAACTTTCTCGTTTATAATGCGAGGAATGTTGAATTAAAAATCATACTTCTACCGGTAATCTTTATTGTTTTTATCGGTAAAGACTTCAGTTTAAGGTCAAAAATCTTTTGAAATCCCTGTAATTTTCAGATGAATCTTGTGATTTAAATGTTTATCTTTATTTAAATACCATTTATACATTATGATACAATACGTTACAGCAATAATTTTAAATAAAACCTATGAGATACAGATATTTATCAGTGACGTTTATTAAATTTTCAGAAAGAAATTGGCAAGTCCAAATCTAAAGTAGTCGATCCGCTCAAACAATCTGTAGAAGATAAGCTAGACAAGAAAGAAATAAAGAGGAACCGTTCTGGCACTTGGGGATCGCAGGTTTCATACAAGGAAATCGAACCTGTGAAGAAAACAAACCTTAAAAAAGAAAAAGAAAGAAGAAGCAGCGATGAGAGGCGACAAAAACGAGGTGAATATCTTTTTTTATGTTACGCTACGTTTGCTTGAAATTTTAGTGAGCTATTTCAAATAGTTTCTTATTACTAAAACAGGGTAGAAAAATGCTGGATCCTCATTTAGATTAGTGGAAACGAACCCATTTTGTGAAAGCTATCATTTGATCTCTGATTGAAGTGAGATTTTAAAAACAATGAGAATAGATTTTCATCGCCCGCCGTAACGTTTGGTCAGAATGAGCCCACGTACTATTTGAGTTGCCGTATATCTGGCGCCCCGCCAACACTTAGCCAGATAGAGTACCTGATAAAAGAATGTTACGTAAAGCAGGTTATAAAGTATATCTCTATGTTATCTATTCAATTAATCGTTGAGTTCTAATGAACAGAACCATAGGAAGACATCCTCAAAGTGTTTTTAACGACATAATTTAAGTAAGATTTTTTTTATTTAAACTTACGCCATTCTATTGTAAGCTGTACCTAAGCTAATAACTGCTCGTTAGTAGTCTTTTCTTATTGAACGAGGGGTAGTGGACGTAAGGTAATAGCTATTCCTTTGTCTGTAAACAAACTAAATATGTTAAATATGAACCTGAATGCAGAAACAATAGGGAGTAGTTTATTTAAACTCATTCTATTTTATAATCTGTACCTTACATCTATTTCATTTATTATGCGAACGATCACGTAATTTATAGCTGCACAAATCAGGTATGTTCTGTGAGGTCATGGTACTTTCCCAGTCTATTCGACTGATTCAATCCGCAAACTAACATCATCGCTGTTGAACTTTATGAATTGTTTAACTGGGTTTCCACTGTCGAAATATTGTATTGTCATCTCTCCAATTTCTTCTTAACAAAGCGAAATAATAATGTGGTTGAATACAAATACAAGCAGTTGAAGTTCATGGTAACAAGCTATTTTAAATGCCATTAGACAAGTTTAACTTTACAATATGTAAGACGATTGTGAGTGTTTTGTTTACACATAATTATATACGTTGTATTAAAACAGCGAACACTCGCTGTAAACATAAACTTATTAAAGCAATTATAATCGGTAAAGTACTTTGATCAAAGTCACTGTGTTGCAATAATAAACGTTCAAGTGTTTTTATCACCCTACTATTATATTTCTTATGAGTGAATAACACATGTCGATACATACAGTTTTTGCACAACATGAAGAAAATTAAAGCGAAATAGCAAAATAAATAAATGTATTTGAACGTTAGTCAAATATGCTTCTCAGAAAACACATAAGGATTAACTAATTTATGTAATTAATACAAATAACGTCAGTTAACTTTTGTCGTAATCCTGTAAGAACTAATGTTCGTTAATGTCGATAAACTTATCAGTGATCGTTGTTATGACGAACGCTATCGGAATTTGTTGTGGTGTTGAGCGTAACAAATGCATAATGCATGCCGTTTCAATGCGCTAATATTACGCGAAAATAGCGGTATTAGCGTTAGAGTTATTTTGGTAAATGGCTATTTGTTTATTGCGAACGTTCTCGCCTTTTTTACGAGACTTCGTGATCTGACCGTGACATAGCAACTCTATTTAATTGTCTATTATTAAAGGGACATATGGAGACCGTGTGCCGTAGTCTTTAATTGGTCGCTAAGGGATATCTTTTTATAAAAAAATAGTATATGAAATCTACAAGAATTATAAGATTTAAATGCGTTGCTAGTACAATGAACAAACACGTTTATGTCGTGTGCTAACTTAAAGAGACCTACTTAATGATTTATAGTAGTAATCAGTAGAAATTGGAAATATTATAGAAATTACTATACTCAGGGCCTTGGGTTAGTAAGAACGAGTGGACAAGTTGGTCAAATCCTGCATACGCAGTACATAAAACGAATTGGTATTCTGTACAGCAACTGAACATTGATTACCGAAATAATCCGTACATCAGAGCTTTTTATATACAAAGTAAAAGCGGATATAACAAAATGGATAGTAATACAACCGACCGAGATATGCTAGGGAGCGTAACGTATACACGCAGTTATAATTACGCACTGCAATGTCATTGATTAACTCTAACCATAAAGCGTAGCCTACAAACGGTATCGACGGGTACCAACAATAAAATAGCAATAATACAATAAAATCCCTGTGTCTAAAAGGCTAAGGTCTAAGATGCTTTGACGATCTACGATTCCGCTGGTGATGCTCACGTCCATCTGCGTTTTGCGACATTTTGTTTCAAGAGATATTAAATCCCAATAATTGCTATAGGTGAAGAAACAAGCCATGATTTCATACCAACCATTGAGTCATTAAGAAAATACGTAGGTAATAAAAGAGGCTTTTTAATGAAATTCTTCTTTCTTTGCCCGAAGCTTAGGTTGCGTGTTTTTGTTACGTGATATTGTAAGCGTATGTTTAGGTAAATGCTGGCAAACAATAAGATTTGTTATTTACAATATATTAGATATACTTTCAAATTGTATACGTTATTTGTAGTATTATGTGTAACCTATGTTTAACTCCGTCTAACTAATAGTGGTCTCTGAGAAAATATTTGATTTTATTCGTTTTAATAAAATTCATTTAATTCTCTTTCTGTCCTAGTTGTATGAATAAATCCTACTAATGTTATCAATGCGAAAGTTTAGATTGATGAATGGATGGATGTTTGTTAGAGCTTGTAGTCTAAACGGCTGAACGAACCTCCATGAAATTTGGCAGAGAATAGTCCGGAAGACCATATAGACTATTAGCTTTTGAATTTTTTAATTCCACGTGGTCGAAGTCGCGGGCGAAATCTAGTATAAACTAAATTAAATGTATCATATGTTTAGTAAGTAATGACATATGGCAATAACATGTCCCTTTTTAGACCATCGCCTGGACGCAGCGATTACTCGCAGCTCACAATCAGTTGGCGAACGCAAGCGTCGAGGGTCTGCTGATGATGGACAGGCTGATCAACTATACCAACAGACTATACACGGTAATGTATCAATTATCAATTGTATTAAAATTAAAATCCAAATTTCCGTAATCGAACAGCATGTATGGATGTATGGAGATTGAAGCGGTTATATGATGCTAGTCAGTACAATATCTACTATAATTCATAGAGCCGATTTTACGGTTTGTGGACAATCCTAATATTGACTACAATTTTTTTTTAATAAAAAGTTATTTTGTAAATTTCAATATTTAGGTACTTCGAATACACGAAAACTGTCAATACACAGCTGATTAACATTACGATGTTAAGATCTTATTTTATTGTTTTATGCAGGGACAAGTGGGGTGAGCAGACGTCCAGCCCTATTTGATATTTTCAAATCACGTCCTCGGGGAGATGCAAAGCGTCATATGTCTATAATGCAGCAATTCAAGTCAACTGTTCAGGTTTGTTTATTTTAAATACTAGCTTTTACCTGCGACTCTGTCCGCGTGGTATTAAAAAATAATAAAAGTAAGAAGCCTATGTGTTTTTCCAGACTATGTACTACGTTTATGCCAAATTTCATTGAGATCCGTTCAGCCGTTTAGTCTATAAAATCTAACAAACATCCATCTAAACTTCCTTTTAGTATGATTACAGTGAAAACCATTTTATTTAATGTGAAGTAAACTAAATACTTTGATATTTAGTTATCTTGTTGATTTTTTCTTAGCTTAATTTAAAATCATAGATTCATCTTGACCGTTATCTCAGGTTTCATGAGAAAACATCTTTTTTTTTTTTTAGAATATGACGAAATCTAGTGGCAGCACTAAAGAAGGTCAGAAAACAGAGACAGGAGAACAAGGCGCGTTGCCAGGGTCTACATCGCCCCATCCGCAAGGTGTGGACACTGCGGTAAGGCAAATACACTAGTTTTCATAATTGTAAATTTCACTTTATAGTTTAACCAGTAATATAAAAAACCCTCGTCATGTTACTGAAAACAGTAAGGAAACTGGTAACGCTCTCTTGAATTTTTAGATTATTGGTTAAGTTACATCTTAGCTAGGACAGTTCATTTTTCATAGGGAAAAATTTACAGTGTCTTTAAATGTGATTATTCAACTGTGGGAGGCTTTTACTTGTAATCTGGTCCATATATTGTAATAACATTAATGTATGGATTTAAATAAAGCTAAAAAAAAATGTGATAAAACTCTTTTTACAATTAAGTTTTTTTTTATTATAGACTGGTGGTAGCCAGAAAAATGAAAAAACAGTCTCCGACAGCAGCGAATTGGGAGGCGGGTCTAACTCTACTGCTACATCTCCACAGGGTAGTGACGCTATGGTAAGATATAAATACTTTGCACTAAATTATTTTTTTAATTCTAGTTTCATAAAATTTGTTTTGTGGAAACGGAGATTATTATTAAAAATATTTTTTTTCTTGCAGTACGCCCATACATTACGTCCGGAAATGTTGTATAGACGACAAAGTCCAATTGCAAGAGTACTCGATATGTTTAGAGGAATGACATCTGCAAATCCTCAGCCGGAACAAGTTAATCAGAAACGTCGAATGGTAAGTATTGATTTTGTTTGTTTGCGATAGATGGCGTTGTTATAAATTGTATAATTCCAAGTTACCCAACTAGATGGCGCTGTTTTACATATGCTTGAAAGTGGACAATTTAAATTTTTAAAACAGTTTTATTTTTGAAGCTTTCTATGTGATATTCAACATGAAAAAACATCGTCACAATATTACCAACCAAATATTTCTCAGTATTAGATACCGATAATATGTAATGATATTGTAATGTATCAATCAATCAATGTATGTATTCAAATAATATATTGTTGTCTTTGTTCTATCAAAGATAATCTGAGAAATGACAAGCCAATATAATCGTAATGGCTGTCATAGTTATTCACACTTTGTTAATGTTAGCTGTAATATAGTATGTACCGATTATACTAGGTTTTGTAATGGTTGCCTCGAAAGGATTCTGCATATGTGAAGGCAATGATATCCAATGGACACATTGGTTTGACCTCTAAATCCGAGAAAACAGAAACATTTTGCTTTACATGTTTTGATGACAGAAGCATTAATTAAAGTAACTTTCAACAAACAAACACACAATTATTATGTATGAGATATACATAAGTAAATAATTTTTATATTGAAAATATTTGGATAGATTTATCTTTCAAAGGAAGATTCTATAATCTTATCTGTGTATTGTACGGATAACTATGATTGGAGAAACATTATGTTTTTCTATGATAGAGAACTCGTAATATTCCCTTATATACCGGATACCGATCAAAACGAAACTTACACACTACAAACTAAAATCACACTTATAAAAAAAAATGTTTATATCCTAGCGTCTCACTAACATTTTCATTAGGTACTAAACACATCGATACGGAAATAAAACTAAACTAACGACTAATAATTTGTGTTGTGTATTGAAAGGTAAAGATGAAATTTAGACATTATAATTAGTAAACTAGCAAACACGTTCTACATTTTTTTCTTTGTATTTAATTTAACAGAGTTACCTTCTTCACCACATCTCTCTATTTCAAGTTTATTACAAAATCATTAAAAATTTCATAAGTAGACCATATTCGAAAGGATTAAAAATTACTATAAAAATCTTTCAGAAAAATTTCACATCTAAATTTGTGTCGCCCGTTAAAATCATTGGATCATTTCGCTACAGGTAAAAATAATCACAAATCTTACTACAATGATATACAAAGGATAGTTTTACACGGATGGAAGACCAATCAGCCGCCGTTAAACTACGTGAAACACGACGTAATAACGCTTGATAAATCGAGGCTAAATGAATACGGAAAACATAACGTTAGCGACCGTACATTGTGCACTTTGTTGTGTACTAATCATTCCGCGCGGTATTCCATTCTGTGAACAACACTTCTTTGAAAGACAATACGTTGCCTACTGAAACGGTGATATTTCAGAAAAATTTGTTCAGAAAATTGATGCTGTAGAAATTGCGCACGATTGCACGACGACTCCCGGGACCGGTTACACTTCCGTAACGAAATACCAGCATCTTCGGAAATTGTTCACTCACCTTAACCGTTGCATAACAAACTAGTATCTCGTGACAATAACGTTATCGCTCAGTACTTCAAGAGATGCCTTCGAGGTATAACCTCGGCTATTCAACGCGACTTTGCGAAACATTCTCCCACTTTAAGTGTTATAGTCGCTCCCGCGGTATGTTTTGTTAGTGCGGTGTCAGTGAATACGTCGATATGTCAAATTATTTTCGTTGGATTAAAGGGAAGAGGGACGAAGATGTTTTTTATTCGGAAAAGCCTAGAAGTCGCTCTCTTGATCCGAGATCTTTGGAATTATCTGGTATCAGGTTGGTTGCTCAGAATCATCAACAACAAGAAGAGGTATGAATATTGAATTGAAGTAATTTGACTTGTTTGTGTGAATTTGTTTAGTCACTTAAGGATGTATTGGTAAGAAAATGTGTAAATTAGGAATCGCCACTAGTATACACGATTACGCAAACAAACATTTGTAAATATTCCTGGAAAATTAATTACCTCAGAATCTTATAATGCTTACGTTTAATCCACAGACAATTTCTTTCTCATTATTCTTTTACATTAATTAATTCTAAATTAGTCGTATTGCTTAAGAAAAAATATCCAATGAATAATTTTGTTTCCATTGTTGTTTTTTCCATAAATGTGTTTGTTTCCTTCTCGTTGGCGGCAAATGTCTTCTTTGCTACGTAGGATATTATAACTTTACTGAGGTCTACGTATATTTTGTACAAGGTCAATTTAATTATCAAATTAAAGTTTCGAAAAATTGTAATGAAATGTATCTGTTACTATTTATTTATAGTAATTTTAAACAACATAATTGTTTTACTATTTATACAACTAATTACATTTTAAACCTGTACCATATTTGTTGATTAATTTAATAGCTTGTACCGAGTTATCACTATGATAACGTAATATGTTTGTCTGTAATTGCGTTACAATACACAATGTTAACGTTTTTCGTAGTCACCAAAAAGCAAATAATTTAATTTTATTATGTATTAAGTATGAAGTAATTTAAAATATAGGACATTAGCAAAAATTCTGCTATAAAATATAACGAAAGTCCCCATTTCTTTGGTAAATGCCACCAACCAAACGAATACCACATACCACCTACTTGTATATCGTAAAAATTGCATACGTTTATCTTAAATTTGACGACTCTATTTAATTAATGATAGACTACTCCGTACACCGTAGTAAAGGTTTATCTTCCCTAGTTATCGTGATTGATGAGCGACTTGATCATTGTGACCTAACACGTTTGGTTTCCTCTTCCGAAATAGCTAAATAAAATATGTAGCCAGCCCTTTAGTATCAAGGAAAAATAAGTTGAGGACATCTTTCTATGTTCCTAATGTAAATATACTGATAATGATTTGCTTTGCATCGGTTTATTTTATCGGCATATAGCAAGGTATTGGCTTCATACAAATTGTTAAAATACTACGTGGTACTGACGGCCGAATAAGCGACGGAAGGACAAACTTTGATAGGGTTGTACTTGATCGCATTAACTATGTATATTAATAGGATTAGGTAACATCATCATCTCTTCTACCTTGTCCTACTCTATCATCCATCATCTCAGTCATCACTCCCTTTTTGATCATGTCACCTTTCGCGCAATCCATCCATCTCTTTCTAAGTCTACCTCTACCGGTGTACCCTTCCACACTCATAATTAACGTTCTTCTTTTAACATGCGATTCATCCCTCCTCATAAAATCCAATCATAACCTAGAATTAGACATTTCTTTGTTGTCTGTTTTATGTGAAATGTTCAATATTAGGAAGTGAACTATGATTTAATTACGTAACACTGTGTTTTACACAAGACAATGGATTTAGTGACTACTTAACGAATTGTAAGCTATGGTTATTTATCAATGCACCTATGTACGGTAATAAATACAAAAATCTTTGTGGTAAATTAGCGTAAAGGCTTCCTTGCTTCTAGTCTCTGGATGTTCAATGTAAAAACGCCTATACAAAATCATATTCTGTTGTTTTAGAGAAAATAATAAAGGAACAGCAATATATTATTATTGGTAATGGTTGGTTTTCTTTTTTCTCGTTTGTATTTTTTTTTTGTTCAAGTGTATTGTGTTGTATTGTGTTGCAATGTGTTACGGAACTGATTAAATGTGTATTATTATTATATTTTTGTACAGTTGCGAGAAGACTCAGATATAAAGTAGAACAACTTTTAAAAGCTACGAATCTCTCATATATCATCTTTTATTATAAGTATGTTCATAAAAATTTGTAGTTGTTCTTTAAGATTTACCTTGATTGTAAACAATGTTTGTATGCAAGTTCTAGCTTCTTTGAAGGTATTATTCAATTAAGCGGTATGATTGTGAAGTAATATGTTTTTCCTGTTATTAATATGTGTACAAATGCTTTAATTGCGTCAGATATACATGCACATTTTATAAATACATGTTTGTCAAGAGAGACGAATCCAGACACATGGTTACAGTAAGAATTTATGTTAATAAATAGCTTTTCAGTGTTGTCTGCAGGGCTGACACTGCACACGACAAGCCTTTGTCACTCGACATGCTTGAACAACAAAATCTTAATAGGCTTTGCATTGTCTGAATAAAACATAATTTCATTAATATTAAGTTACTATCTTTCAAAACAAAAGTTAGTACCCTATGTACCTATACCCTACATCTAGGCCTAATTTAATCGAGATCCATTCAGTAGTCTAGGCTACAAACTGTAACAAACATCCCTCATCCAGATTTCCGTCTTTATGCATTTGTAATATAATGTTAGTACAATAATTTTAATTACATTCCTAATATATTTCGTGTGTGAAAATTTTCACATAGTTACCAACCTATTTATCGAAAAATTTCAAAATTCGTTTCTTTAGTTATTTTCGTGAATTTAAATATTTGTCAATTCAAATTTACATATGAATGATAGCTTAAGAATCTTGCAACGAAGAGCCCCTGTTTCTATGACCCTGCAGGTCAAGGATACCTTTGTACCAGACGTAGTCAAATTCGTGTAATAAAAACGTGTAGTTTCATTTTCAGCTTTAATAAAAAAACATAGTTTTATATGTAACCCTTTCTGTTGTATTGTTATACGTTATAATTGGTTTCATCGACTTAATACTTTAAGTCTAGGAACTACTGCTTTTACCTTTATAGTTGTTTTAATTATATTTAGGTATCTATTGATAAACGCTCGTAATGCAATATTCTATGGTTGGCCTGACCTAAGTATATTTCCCGATAACTATATTAGGACCTTGTGCCTCGTGTCAATTTCCTCTATTCAGCGTTGTACGTAAAGTGCTTTCATTGCATCAACTATATTAACTACAAACATTTACGTCTACCCTGGAAAGGGGAATGTTTAATTATATTTATATTGAAACTTAATTTTTCTTTGATAAACATCTCGAATATTATTTTTCTTTGATACTGAATGAGAAATTGTTCGTTAGGAGCTAGCTTAGACTGGGAATAGACGTGACTCAGTGAAAAGACATACTGCGCAGTACCATGAAAGAAATATTAGCGATTAGCCACGGCATTGCAAGGGTGAATATTAGGCCAACATTTTTTGACCGACTTCCCAAAAGAAGGAGGTATTCAATTCGACCGTATATTTTTTTTTTTTATTTTTTTTTTATGTGTGTTACGGCATAACTCCGCCG